TGGCCCCCTCCCCGGGCTTACCCGCCCCATCACAGCCTCCTCCCGGGCTGCCCGCTCAGACCGTCCCACCGCCAGCCCGGTGGGTGACTAACACGGCGTGCCCAGCGTGTCCAGGCTCCTCCACTCTCTTTCCCCCCACCCAAAACAAGGGGATCTTGTCCACGCTGTATTGGGACCAGTCCCTGGCCCGCGCGAGCCCCCGAATCATGTCTAGGAGCACGTTTGGGGGCGCGAGGCAAAACGGTGCCAGGGGAGCGGGCTGGTCGCTGAGCGCTCCGGCTGACCGCAGGACAGGGCTCGACTTGGTGCCTCGGGGCGGAGGTGGCCTCGGGGAGCTGTGCCCTCGCAAACGGGCTTTGCCCCCGAGCCGAGGCCCTCGACGCCCGGCCGGCCGCAGCGCCGGCGAGCTGGTGACCGAGAAAGCATGTTACCTTGGCTACAAAGCAGCCCAGCGCACCAGAGCACGGCGAGAAACGTAGGGTACGTATGTCCGCAGTTTTGGCTAGAAAGGAACGAATACGGGGGAAATAAGAACACAAACAGAAACGAAATCTGGGGGTGGATGTGGGCTTTCCTCACCGCCCTGCTGCAGCCCTCTCGGTTGGGTCTTTTTTTGTTTTGTTTTGTTTTTTTGTTTCTCCCGCTCCATAGAAATACAAGGTAGCTGTCAGCGGGCGGTAACACATGCCGAATTGCCTGGCGTGCGTGCTGGGGAGAGAGCGTGCGTGCCAGTTAACGGCAGGGAAAACAGCTCACAGAGGCTGGTCTGTGCGTCCCTGCCCAAGCAGGCCGCTCGGCTTCCCCGCTGCCGCCCTGGGCTGAGAGCTGCCGTTGTTCTGCCTGACCGGGGCCACGGGCTGCGCTGCAAACGTGCCGGGCCTGTGTGCGAAAGCCGTTTTCCTCCGCTAAGCTGTTTAATCGTGGCACCTGGGCAGCGGGTACCGCGTGGCTTGGAAAATTCATATAATCGAGCCGTATCAATCAGGTTCTTGGCGCAGAAAACTGCATGAGACCAACCGAACAGGAATTATTTCCAGCTCCTTCCTTCGGATGGAAATGCTCCTCCAGAGGGAAGCCGTCTTTCCTTGGTGGCGGTCAGGCCCCTGTGAAGGGCAGGATTTTGGTGTTGCAGACTGTTTCGAGCCCGTTGTCAGTACGTCACGGGTGATAAAACATATTGGATGTTCTTTTCTCCTCCGGGTTGGAATTAGTTTCCCCCTCTACTTTCTCTTGAGGGATGTCAAAGACAAGACCCAAAGAAAGGAGTGGAGAAGCAGAGAGCCAAGTGTTCGGGGGACTAAGAGGCGCAGGGGTGTATTAGGAGGGCTGCCGCTGAGCTGCTGTTAAGCAAGTCGGCATCTCTCTGCTGTGTCTTTCTGCTTTCCCTTCTGAGCCACGGTGTCTTTGGGACACAGACTGCGCTTGTATCGGCCTTCCAGCGTTAGCTGCTACTGGGTGAACCGGTTCCCAGATGAAGGCACATAATACTTACGCACAGGGCTGCAAGAGCAGTATAAATAAGCAACGCACGCAGAGCTTGGAAGAGGGCTGGGTTAACCAGCCAAAATACGTGAGAGCCACTTGTCTAAACGTTGCTGCAGTGCACGCAGCAGGGGGCTTACAGAGCAAAGCCCTGCTCCGAGGGGCATTTGGAGCCTGCCCTTGGGCCCCAGAAGGGTTGGACTAAGCCATAACAACGACAGAGCTGCCCCTGCCGGCCCCCGCCGGCTGTGCGGGACTTGCTTACTCACTTGGCAGTGTAGACGCGATCGAAGGCGGAGGATCCCGGCCGCTGGAACCCTTTGCCATTGCAGTGCTTACTTTCGTGCTCCACTTTGCTAGCAAAAAAAGCTGTTTGAAAAAGGAACGTGGTTTGATCAGAGGTGTAATTCGGGGATGTTTCAGAAGGTCTGCTTTGTGGGCCGCGTTCTGCGCTCATGCACATCCAGGCCTGCCTCTGGAAGGATGTGGCCGGCACGCTTGCTCTGCCCCTGGGCAATCACCAAACCCCTTGTGGTGTGGCCTCACACCCCGCCCTGGTCCCCTGCGGCCCATAGCAGGTCATGCCTCTGTGTCCCGCGTAATCCCCGCACCGCGTCTCCAGCAGCCCACAGCCCCATTACAGAGGTACGACCCTGACTCAGCCCTTTGTATTCCTGGGTGAAACAAACTTTCTAGGCAGGATTGCCAAAAACAAATCTCATTCTCCGATAAAGCAGGGAGACAAGGGAATCACTTCCCTTTTGGTAATACTCAATTGCCAAAATGGGGACACCCTGCAGGGCTGGTTCATTTTCCCAACCGGCCCATTGCAAACCCAGTTCTGGCATGGCGCTGGCTTGCAGCCCCTCAGATGCGGAGCCCCCGGCCACAGCCCCTCTGGCCCACGCTGACGCAAGGACCAGCCCTCGTGAACACCACTGCTTTGGGGCAGTCTGTGAGAGGACTTTGGGGGCTGCGCTGAAGTGCCTGCATAGCCTTTGGGACATCCAGCTGCAGGACACCTTTTCAGACGTGTGGTTTCTGAGCCAAGGACCACAAAGCCCCTAGGACCATGGCTGTTGTGCCACTATTTTACTCTTTTCATAGAGAATGAAAGAAAAAAAGGTTTTTACTCCAAGTCAGAATTTGAGCTGGAGAAATCCTCCATCCAAAGCAACATATTTCTCTTCTGGGCTTGACTCGGGTGTTAACACTACTAGGTGAGTCAGTGGAAATAGTACGTAAGTAAAAATGATGCTCCAATTGCAAGAAATTGTTCTGAGGTCCTAGCATAGCAACACCTATCTTGTTCACCGATCTTTATGTACCCATATTGTGTTTTCCCCATTTAAGCAATAGGCTTGTGTCAGGATGTTAACTGCGGCAAAAATGCAGCGATTTGAGATAATGCATCATGAGCGCATGACAAACACGTTTTATCTAATGACACTAAAGCAGAGACCATCAATCATATGTCTAAATACATCAGACAGACCTCTAACAGGATACAAGTTACAAGCTGTGTATTATCATGCATCCAATCTCAGTGTACCCAAACTGCTCTACAATTTAGAATATTAGCAAAAGATATATAAAAAGATAAAACATCAGGAAAAATGTTATTATAACGATGTAAGTAGGTAGAACTTGATAAATTGAAGGATTTCATCCCTGGAATCTGAAGATTTACTTCTTTTTTTCCTTCACAGATCCTGTGTGACTTTTGTACTTAAATTGCCTTCACTAAAAGTACTGAGATTTTTTGCTTTCCAATAATGAGTGATTCCCCAGCTGGGCATATCCAGCTGTTCTACAGCCTTTCTTCCAAAAAACCTCTATGCTTTTAAACCAGTGCCTCCGCTGGGCTGTGGACCCTCCTGGTGCTCACCAGCACAGTGCATTAGCCAGAGTGTGGGAGTGCTCAAGGTAAGGGCTGGGGCCTGGAGCATTCACCAGCTAGGGACACAACCATGGCGGGATCCAGCCAGAGGCATACAGTTGTTGCCAAAGGCTCTGGCACAGGGCTTATTAACTGACCTACGTGGTTTAGGAGGACGTTGTCAGAGAGGACTAGATCAGCCAGCATTTTTTTGATGAGAAACTGCCTCTCCTTCCTGATGGTCTTGGATTACATGGGCTCGCTGGAGTACATAGCATACCTCCTCCCCTCCTTTGAGTTCCTACGTGAAATCACTAGAAGATGCCACAGCTTCAGAGAAAGCCAAGAGAGAGCTATATATATCTCCCTCCTAGCTGCTGCCAGCACTGCTGCTTCTCAAATGCCGGTGTGCCACTGCAGACAGGCGCAGCGATGCAGGGCGGCTGCCGGGCTGAGCCCCGATGCCTCACCATGCCGAGGTTACAGAGTGCAGCAACTTGGAGGGGCCAGCCAGGGACAGTGCTGATGCACAGCCCCCTGGAGAGACGTGCCACACCACCTCTGGGGTCTTCCAGGTAGACTGGGGTGACAGCACAGCACCGGTTCTCAGAAACACCTCCTTTTGACTTTGGCTTGCCATAAAGGCCATCCTTTCCCCCAGGACAGGGTTCTGATTATGGAAATCCAGGCATTGTCCTGGAAATTCTCACTATCTTTGACGTGGCCTATGAAATCACTGTGGTGACTCTGGCTGGAGCTTGGGGCTCAGACTCTCCGGAGCGCTTTGGCCTGTACTTAGGATGCTCCACTGACTGCCAACTTAATGCCTTAGCCCTTGCTCAAAGGATCACATGTTAAGTCAAACGATAGAAGTAGGTGCATCATGGGCACCTGTTTCACAGATGAGGAACAGGGTTAATCGCACCTTATTTTAGCCATTCAGAAATGTTGGATAGATGTTTTCCTTCTGTAATCAGTGGATTAGTATCCACTTTCCTTGGAATTTCAGTCTTTGAGGATTTTTTTAAAGCCATCTTCTGAACTAGAAAGTCACTTTTAATACTACAAGATGACCAAGGAATTCAGAAGTTAAAGCATGCTGCTTCCTCTTAAAAAACAACTTTCTGTGCATTCAGTGGATTACAGAGGGACAGAGAAGAAAGCCACTTCAGAGAAATCACCCCAGGGAAGTCCTCATCGTTCTCCATTGACTCCACAAACAGCTTCGACAACCAGCTTAAAAGAGGTGTCCACCTTTTAGCTAGCAAAAGTGGCTGGAATGACCACCTCCGACCCACTGCAGCAGCTGTATTTCCTTGGGTCCATGTGAACCCCTAAAGTGAGGGCAATACCTGGGAGGAGATCACCTCTGATTACACTTCTGGAGAGCCCAGCGTCCCGCTCTCTTTAGGGGGAATGGAACCTCCCACTTTGAGTGAGCTTTTTCCCTTTGAAGTGGCACTCAGTTTGTGCTGCTCCTTGACTCTGTCCACCTCACACTCTCTGCAGGATCCCAAAGTCTCCCCAGAAGGCACACTGGAGGTAGAGCCTAGCTGCCTGGTGCTCACTTAGGCTGAAACTCTGCAGAGGACTGGATCAGAGCTGGTGGCTAACATCCAGTGGTGGGCCAGGTCACAGCTTTGCTCTCAGAGTGCAGAGGCCTTGGGGTCCTGTTAGATCAACATGGCTAGGGAAGGCAGAAGACTCTACAGAGCGAGGCCTTTTGCAACACCACAGTTATATTTCCTGCTCTTTTTTCTGAACCCCTAGGCCAGACAGTGGTTTCACAACACGGTGAACATGAGATGAGTGAGCAGAGCAGAGAGGTGCGAATGAGAGACAGGAGCAGGGCTGGGGGCGGGGGACGCATCTCCTGTCTGGGGTACTTAATTCAGCTCAGCTGCAGCAGGCACCGATGCCTTGAGGTTCCAGGTCTACCTCACTGGTCTGAGCCTGAGCCGCTGCAGTCCTATCATCTCCTCCAACCCAGCGCGCTCCCGTTGCCTCCCTGACACCAGCATGCAGGTGCATGCAACGGGTGGGCTGGGGAGATGGTTCAGCTGAAAATAAAACACTTTTGTTGTTAGATATATTTTCAGTGGGATCATTCCCGTGAACCGTCTCATGGCCTGGCAATCTGAAGGAGAGGGAGGAACACATCTCTGGGATCAAGGAGGGGAGACAAGACCACAGCTGCTTGGTCTGTGGTCAAGTTAATGTACAAGAAAGCTAAATCCAAGTTTGCTTTTTTCACAAGTCCACGCGAGCAGAAGCAATGTGCTGATGCTTAACCCCCAGAGTGCTGGCAAACATGCAAATTGCCCCTTCCTTCCACTGACTTGCTTTGCTTTCTCCTTCCTGGTCTGCCCCCAACTTGCTTGGCAAAGCTTTTTAATTACAACATCTCACTGACGCAAGAACAAAACTTAGAGCGACATGTGTGGCTAAGCGACATCTGACAGCTCGCCATGTTCTGCAGAATATTCAGATTCCCAGCAGTAACAAGGCACCAGAAAACGGATGTTGGACTGGGGCAGAACCGCAGCCCGCCTCCACCCCCAGGCCAACAGTATACATCAGAAGAATTTTATAACCCCGCACCAGATGCAGAAAAGCATTCAAGCCTGAATTTACATTGCACTGGCTTCATGTACTTAAAGATAGTTAAGCAGATGCCTAAGTGCTTTGCTGAACCAAAGCCATAGCAAGAGTTTTGTATACCTGATATCCCCCGAAAATCAGCTCTGCTGCCATAATTACTGCACGCCTTGCAGGACTAGCAGTCGGGTCCTTCTAGATAAAAAACTTGGGAGGAGGAAATCAAATGATGCAAGCTCAGGAATCATAATTTAGGGCTGATTGGCACCCAGAGCCCTCTGCCAAGCGCAGCTCTGCCGGCTCACAGCAGCTGGGTCGTACTCTCACAGACAGATTTCCATGAAATGAAAGCGAGACTCAGGCTGCAATGTGAATGCTCGAGTTTCCGAGTGAGAGGACAAATCTGTATACAAAGTCAGACATCTGGTTAAATAACAAGAAAGGGAAATTCGACACTTTTTATTTTAATTGCAGCATGTGCTCTGATCACAGCGAGCCTTATTCCAGCACTGGTGATGTCCCATGCTGTGCGTTTACCACAAAAAGGGACTGGGTCGAACGACACTGCTTTTAGTGCCTACGTCAAAACTACTCCAGTCCTCACCTCTTTTTTCACTCTGTGGCAGCTATGCCTATGCTGTGGCCCCTGACACCACCCCTCTGCGACAGCCCAAGAGCAACCTATTTCTAAGAACCGAGGTGTGTTTTTTTGTGGTTTCCAGTTTGGTTTGCACTCAGTGGGAATCTTTGCATTTGCTTCCCGAAGCCGTTACTGAACATTTTGAGCATTTGTGCCAGATCCGCATCACACAATTCTCCTTGAGCTCTGGGCAATCTCAGTGCAGCTGTGGGAAAACTCACTCACTTGTCTGTATTCTGGGCAGAATTTTCTGCTCAAGTATTAAGTATTAATACTGATCCGATTAAGTAGTTGTAAGAGACAAGGATCAAGTTAAAAACAGGTTTTCAGAAGAGAACTTTAGGGGAAGTAGTTTCCCCGAAAAAAAAAAAAAGACCCTAAAGCATAATACTGAGCTATAGAGGTCTGATTAAGATAAAGGACAAAAAAAGGAAACACCTTTGTTGCAGGAAACGCACAGCAGTCAAGCTGCAGGACTAGGCGATGCGGAAAAGTAGGATAACTGGATACCAGCAGATAATCAGACTTCTCAGGGGGAGTCAGTGCAGTTTCAGCGGCCTCACCCAACTCTGTGCAATCTCACCTGGCAAACACCTGATCTGGCCCCGCAGCAGTCGCTCAGCTCCCCCAGCCCCTGCCCTCGCAGCGCAGCTGTCCCTGGAGAGTAGCCCTGGCTGCCCACATCAGGGATTTCGGACAGCAGAAGACCTCCCAGTTACCGAATCTCAATACACACCCTCACAGGCAACCACAACATATTATCCCTTTCCTTAGCTGGTGTATATATAACAAGCTCACTCTAGGATATCACAGAATAGGATCGTGTGACTGCTAAGATACTGAAGCAGTGTCATGCAAAATGATATGCTTAGAAGAATAATTCCTAAAGCCAAAGTCATGCCTAAACACACACACACATACAACAAGAGATTACATGTCCAAAGATCAGATCAGCACACATCATACTCCATTTTTCTTCATTCCCTTTTAGCCCTTAAATAAATACTTATTTTTGGCTTACCGTTTTGGACAACACTTATCAAGGTGACTATGGCAAGCAGGACAATACTTCCTAGTATTTCATGGTCCATTTTGTCAGCAGGCTTGTCTGTGCACTCAGCAGCAGCTCAGCCCTGCAAAGCACAGAAGGAGGAAGTAAGGGGCTTTCTTATCTTGAATCATGAAACACTTCCTATGGCTTCACAGCTAGCATAGGCAGTATGTCTTTCTTAGATATCTATCAGTGTGACACAACTGCAGTCCATAAACTCACTGCCTCATCATGTACTGTTATTTACAGATGGAGCCAAGAGAAACAAGAGATACTATGTCCGTGAGCCAAGAGGATAAGTGATGTAGAAAGATATCCGTTCCCCTTCCTGCTCGGGAGCAAAATGGCAGCATCCATATCTAAAGTATATCTGAGCATTTGGTTAGCTGTGTTGAACAGTAGAAAGGCTGGAAAAGACCAGGCGAGCTGTCATGTCATGGCCTGCAAGAGTCCAACCCCTGCACAGATAGATGGTAGGAGGAATGAACGGCTGGGCAGTCGAAGTAGCAGCACAGCTCTCAGACGTGCACCTTCCCTGGTCACAGCTCTGTCAGTCTCACCGGTGATGAGACCCCACAGCTCTGGGTCATAAGCAAAAGCTCCTCACCCCTATAGCATGTTTGAATAGGCAGGTTAAACAAAGAGAACGGAAATGCTGTGAAGATCATAGGTAGGTGCAGAAATATATCTTTCATTACCAGGGGTGGATCCTGCAACTCCTACCCCTGAGAATATTTCCCTGGAAGACAGTGACAGCTGTCAGCATTCAGCATTTTACAGGCTTGGACTTCCCAATTGTACCCCAGTTTTGTTAGTCCAGATGCAGTACAGCTGAACATAAGTGTTGCAGCATGTTTATTGCCTTGGCGTCATCATCGTTGCAATATTATGCTGTCGACTCTATTAAAGAAATGGCAGAAAAACACAGCTTAGAGTGTGGCAAGGCTGCAGAAAGCTTCTTACAGGTTGCCAGATTGCTGGAAAGAGTCCTCATCTAAAGTGCACCTCACGTGCTCACCATAACCCCTCTGCTCTCTTTTGCCTGTATTCTGATGGGAAAAGACTTCCTAAAAATGCTTACCTTCGCAGGGATTTAACACTAATAAAATTAATAATTTCACTGGAATGAGCCCCGGACAACGTTTGCTACATCTCCACACTCCACGACACGCTACCTAAGAGATCCGAACAGTGTCCAATGTCCAAGCCACATAACCAAACACATCTTTCTGAATGTGACTCAGCTAGATACTAATTCCCAGCAGATGCAAAACTGTAAAATTCATGTTGTGCAATGGGGATAGATTTATCTACAACTCTATTTTTATCCAGGCTGTATATCATGCAAAAACACCTGAATTATTTGATATGGAAAACTATCTTTGTGTGCAGGCAAATATACAGATACACACTGACTGGGAGGTGTATGATTAACTTAGTCTATGAGTTATGACCTACTATTAACCTACTGCCAGAAGGCTGTACTTCTGGGAGACTAAACTGCAATCTTAGAGCCACAGAGATGCACCTGTGTGAGCGGCAAGGCCGTAAATAGTATTGGTTTTAGACTTAGCCTGTGATATGCTTTCCAGATTTTTAACTCTTGGTGAATTTGCTTTAAAATAAATCAAGAACAACAACAAGAAAAAAGCACAACAGCCCTTTGAGAATGCTTTTATTCACATTGAAGTTCTTATTTTCCTCATAAAATAGTCGTCTTACTTGAGCATCAAGGTTTTGTGGTCTATCGAGTGCAGCATCATAGTTGGTATTTAAGGACGGTGTTTAAGGTTAAGCTTCCACTAGTCTTCTGAAGAGGAAGACCCATCACCTAAAAGTGCTACGAAATTAAATCAGAAGAGGGACGTTGGCCCAGCAGAAGGCAGGGCAGTGGATGTGAAGGAGAGAGCCGTGTGGTGGCCCCCTCGGCAGCTGCTGACGGCAGAAAGCGCAGGGGGCCGCGCAGGTCCACCAGGCAGCCGTGGCCGGACGTCTTCCAGCCTTTCCCACAGCAGGGGCTGATTCTTCCCTATTTTACACTGGTGTAAACCTGCCAGGCAGCTTGCAATTCACTTTAGATTTGCTTATAAAAGCCGATGAGACCGCTCTAAGACGATAAGCCTCAAACGCGCTGTGCAAATGCAAGCTCCTCTCTGCTTTCAAAGGCTTCCCAAAAGTGGCTTCAGTTTGGCCAGAGTCTCATATTCGAGGTGGTAGCAATCAGGCTCCTAAGGCTAACATCAGGCTCTGATGTTACTGTAAGGTAAAAAAATAAATAGCTGGAGGGTACGGCGGCCGATTTACAAGCTGGCCCACCCAAAAGCCGCGCCAGCCCCACGTGCACCGGTCGGGCCGGGCTGCTGGCTGCACGTCTCCTCTTCCCGCTCCCTGGCAGCTCATTTCCCACTTCTTTTATTTAATTGCGCTGTCGGGGGGCCCCTGTGGCCAGGACACAGCCTCTCTCCCTGCTCCCACGGCCCTGCAAACCCGGCTCATTACTGCCTCTTACTGGGGTTCGTGCTGACATCCCCAGGCACCGCGCGGAGCTTTCTAAACCACCGCTCATCCGGGTGGGAGCCTTGCTCCCTGCCGTCCGCATCGGGCCTAAGACTGCATGAAAAGGGATGCCCCGCAGGCTGGGGGCGCACCCCCCCCCCCCCCCAGCAAAAACCAATATTGCACCGATTCTGGTGTTTCTTGAGCTGATTTATGCATGTGCAGGGGGGGGAAAAAAAAAACCCAAACTTTGCCAGTGAGCCTCTCTGTGGTATGACTGAACCAAAATAAATGCTCTGGGTTTTTTTTTAAGTGTAACATTAAACTGAATATTTCCAAGAAATTTTACAGAAAAGCAGAAAAAATTAGGAGCGTGTGAGACCCATTACTACAGCAGAGCAACCGTGTCGTAAACATACTTGAAGAGCAGAAAAGCAGCCGGAGGGGTATGATCTTTTCACACCCGCTGGCACTGGAATGGCTGCAGGGTGGAAGGAAGCTCTGGCAATTTTTTTGCAGTTTGGGGAATGGCAAGGAAGGGCTAAGGTGGAGCCAAAACGTCTCTGCAGACTGCTTCTGTCACACCTACACAACAAACTGTTTCCTCTCCTTCAGCCCTAAGCGTGTGCACCAAGCAGCATCTCCCGCCTGCCCTTCTTTTGGAGGATAACGCGCAGGATCACCAGCTAGGTAAAGGAGAAGTTGCCATCCCAGGAAAAGCTGTTTGACTGAAAAAAACATTGGTGCAAAGCACCCCCATCCTATTGCACCCGGCCATTTGAAATAAGGGATTTGCTCAAGTAGACACTTGAGCAAAAAAAGGTGGACGTGAGGGAGAGGTGTCTGCATCCACGGTAACCACCAATCCCTGTTTGTGCTCCTCAAGCACAGGTTAGTCTGCATTTCATCAGCTGCTGTTTGATCCCAGCCCTTCCGGTTACTTTATTGTTATTTGAAATCCACATCTTCCTGTTTGAGGAAGATAAACTTGACAGAGTGAGCTACGAAGGCCCTGAAAATGTACAAAGCTGGCAAGCTTTTGCAGTCGTGCTGTGATGCTTCCAGCACATTAATCTCCTTCTCTGGAAATCTTTAACAGTCATTCAGAATAATTCGTTTGTAGAAATACTTTGCTACTGAATAGGAGGAGACCGTGGATGCAGATCTAAAAATATCTTTTCAAATATTCATCTTTTCTCTCCTCGTATACACTGTTGCAGCTCTTCAGCTGTCAGCTGCAAAGGCTCAAATGTAAGTGTGTGTCCTAATAAAACCTGCCCCCGTGAAGCTCCTATATATAAATTTCAGATGACATGCAGCCATCATGCGTTATCAGAAATGCAGTGCAACACAAGCCCCCAGGACTGACCGCTTAGCGTTAGCACAGCGCTTTGCAGACTTAAAGCACCACACAACCACCAAGTATACAGTGCATATACACATGCGCGTGTGACATCGTTTTGCTTCATCATCGCATCCTTTCCAAAATCTGACAAAAACCTGAAAGGAAATATGAACAGAGCAGGAAACACAAAGTGCGGGGGAAGCAAAAAGCAGTGCTGCAATTGTTTAAATGCTCCCTTCATTTCCCACCACCTCTGGACTGGGGAGTTGTGCTGTGGGTAGGTGGCGGTGGTGAAAAGCAGCCCTCAGGAGCTCTGCGGTGGGTCTGAAATGAACGGTACCAATCCCTCCATGGCAGGCGGACCCGGGAGCTGCAGCTAAATCCCAGCGCAGCCAAGCAAATGAAACCGTGGGCGCAGTCGGAGCGCCGCCTTGAGAAACCCTCCGTCTCCTTGAGGAGGCAGGAGGCCGCTCTTTGGGCATCTCCACATCTCCAGGTGGAGACCTGCCAAAGTCCCTTCCAGCGGGGACCACCCCGTGGCCGAGTGCCCCCGTGGTCACCGAGCGGGAAGAGGCCTCAGGAGGTCCGCAGTCTGCCAGTTACATTTCAGCAGGTTGAGTTTCGAGCATTTCTGTGACCCAATGAGAGCGTTTCTATTTGAATCTCCTCCGCTAGGATGCCGGAAACCCCCCTCCCAACCTGGTCACATTGGCAGGTTTCATATTTTCCCTGTCATCACTGAGACTTGGAAAACTGAACCGAGTTCAGCACAGCCCTTTCGGAGGCCTTTTTGGAGAAGTCCTTGTGGTTTGTCAGGAAACTATTGATTATGGCTCTTGGAGAGCTGCTTTGCAATGAGTGGTAGAGCCACCTTGTGGGGATTTCATCCTCGTCGTCCTTCCCTCCCTCGCCTCCGAGAAGCCGCTTGTCACAAGCCTTGCCAAAACGGAGCTGCATCGTTGCAATGGCTCCTCGCAGCCCAGCGCCCCAGTCGTCTCCTCAAAGATGGCAATTAGATTACTTTGACGTGATTTGGTTTTGACAGCCTGTGCCGGCTGTCCGTATCACCTTATTATCTTTTACACGGCTGCAGATTGATTGCTTCATAATTTATTTTATAATTTTTTTTAGAACTGAAGCCGCGTTTGCCTGGGCGAGAACTCCCTGGGTCTTCCCATCCGTTCCCCTTTAAGATGTTTTTGTTTGCCCTGACTCATTTTTAGGGGCTGTATC